ATCGAGATTATGAGAAAAGGCAGCCAAACGCACTTCCGTCGGTATTTCGAGACTCTGCAAAAAGTAGAATGGTATCTGGGAGGGTTCCGGAATTCCACAAAGCCCATCGACGAGCTCATCGATCAGATCGGTCCAACATCTGCAGAAAAGCTTATTAATGATTCGAAATATTTTTGAATGAAAAAACATCTTACTTTGGAAGATCGTGGGAATCCTCTAGAAAGCGCTGATTATTCTTTTTGAAATCTTCTAGCGGGTAAAACCGCAAGTAATGACGCCGAAATCGAAAAAGCGTTTGTACAAACGATAGAAACATCTTTTCGGCTTCTGTGGTGAACTTCATTTTCTGAAAACGAGAGGAAGCATGGCAGTGGTTCTGAGGAGTACGTGCAGGAGTTGTTATCGAAGTTAGGTAACTAGCAAAAATAAGTAAAAAATTGAAATTGCCACTAAAAGCTGGAAGGAAAGTCCTGCCGAGTCCAGTGCCAGCGGGCAACCCAAGCGGAAGAGGGAGAGGATGGAGGATGGGAGGTCTGCGATTGTGTTGTCCTACCATGGGCTGTCGTATTTGACCTGCCTATTAGATAGAAAACTCATCAGCTTTAAATCCTCCCTCCACTAGCGAAAAAAATGAGGAAGTTGTAATGATAGAATGTGATTCTAAAACCCTGGCCATAATTGAAAGAGAGAGAATGTGAAATGGTTGCCTTGCGTTTACCAGCATATTTCTACTGCCCTCCTGCAGTAGTTTCTTTCGAGTAAAAATGAAGTCTCGTGGTTTATCCTATGATTCCGGAAACTACTCTCGTTCTCTTTGAACCAAAGTAGCAGACTTATTTGGAGCGAAGACCCGATCTTGAACCTTAACCGGCCCCCTAAGATGTTGTCGAAAAGGATGGCCACCCAAATGCCTCTGTTATCATTAACGGGAACCGGAGGTGGGAAACATATCAAAAAAAAGAATTATCAGCAACAACTGGCACCTTGTTTTCCAAAATCCAGGACTTTAGTTGAAAAGTTACCAGAACTCGTTTTGATCTAATTCAAGGCCATAAGCATGAACCACAGAGACACAGTGAGCATTAGAAAGCGAGCGAGTCCTGCCCAGGGTGGTGGCTGGTAGTGGTAAAAGTGGAGAACCAGTTTTTAATGTTGAATAGGTAAAAGTCATTGGGACCAGAAGTCGTTCAAAATAATTGCGGCATGTGCATGCTAGAGGGCTTCTTTTAATATTTGCATTTTGAATGAGATGTACCTTGATTTTCGAGCGATACGTTTCAAGAAGGGTACCCGGTTCAGATTCAGGTGTTGATTCCACGTGAAAATCTGAAAAGTGCATTAGATTGCCCTAAATTTCCAAAATAACTTTTGAACTAAAGGTCACGCTGCGGCCAAGACCATCGGAATCAGTTGTTCCCTTTTTGTCTATGAAGTGTCACGTTCATCTCACCGGGTACGTTCATCAATACCTCAGGCCCGTGTCAATTATTATTTTAATTTGTTAAAAATCCTTTGAAAATCAAGCTTCACCTTGGATCAATTCAAAATCGTTTTTATTACTACCAAAAAGCGATTGGCCATTTGAATTGCGTAGCCTTTTCGGATGCGGTCGATGGAACAATTGCACCTAAACATAGAATCCCATAACTGAATGAGAAGTCATTTGTAGGCCGGCAAAACTCCTACCATTCCATTCGTGCAAAGTCGATGTCTTTTGGGCTCCGAAAAACACATATGCACATTCAAACTATCGACTGCTACAGGTCCAGCTAGCTAAAAACGTTTCAGAATTGGTGGAATAACGGACAACTTAATGAGGGAAGTTAGAAACGGTAGCTCGAGCTTCTGGTGAACTCTTCGGTTCGTCGGACTACTGTCAAAATCCCCAAATTAGTTTTTGTTCACACTTTCAACTGTTTCTGAGATCATCAGACTGACCGCTTGTCCGAAGTTCAAATCAATCCATTTGTGAAGATGTCTCGACACCTGATCACTTTCCAACATGCTGCGATGCCACTTGATGAATTCTTCTGGTGATGAGACAAACCCCGGAAGTTCCAGATCGGGCATGTCAGAATGACTTGATACTAGAACAGGTCATTTTTTTTGCCATATTCATGAATTCGTCATTTTCAATCATGAAAACCCAGAAACAGAAGGAAATCGGGAGTTTCAGAGGCGAGCGATAGGGAAGATATCAGCAATTGTGGAAAAATAAAAGGCACGCAGCTACTCCCTGGTCAAGCCAAACGGTCAAAATGATTAGTTGGTAGTAGAGCTTGCAATCGCGGGACCATTTCATGGTTGGGCTGCTAACAAAGCAGTTCGACAACCGAAGAAGAAGGTCCACCAGGCTTACAAGTTCCGCTACCGATTGACTAAGAGCTTGATGGGATCACTCTACAAGTGCTCCATTGAGGGTCCTTCAATCTGCTGAGGAATCTCTCAATCTGAGCGATATTTCTTCCAAATCCTTGAAAACTAGAACCGAATGGTAACGGTGCCCACCTAATATTGATGGATCATCATAGAATTCCGGAATGCACTCATCTGGGGTCCATTCGTACATTCGTGCCATACTCGCTGGATATTCTCGAGGAACCCACTGTAAACTGTCATTCTACTGAGCCCACATGTGCCACATTGTTCACCAACCTTACTACGAACGTGCTTGCATAAGTTAATTTTCGATTCCACTCTTGCCTTATAGACCATGTAGCCGATATCGGACAGCACTTCCGGAATGTGATGGGAAAGATGCCGGAAATTTTGTCTGAAAGTTCCAAAATTCGTGAATAGTTCGTCTAACTCAAATCTGAAAATCTATACGAACCCCAACTGATCATCCCCTTTCGTAAGACGGTACTTCGTTTTGGATAAATCACGCCAACCACCCATCTGTTCTTTGAAGTCGCATACCCACGGGAATATGGGATGATTGTGAACTAAATATATAAATATGCCTTTTTATTACTAGTCTTTTCGAGAACCTCTCTTTACTTTCTCCTCTGACACGACCAGCCGCCTTGTTCAACTCCAGGAGATAATCATAATTCGACATCAATCCGTTGACCCATTGCGAGGTGGTTTTACTGAAAATCACTTTTGATTGAAAAAATAAACGAAGTTCCATAGGTTCATAGGAAATGATGAGTGAGGAAAGAAATCTC